AGGGCGCTGGGGCTGGGAAAAAAGGTTTGTAAAAACATGGTCTATAAAATCATGTCTGGTGTGGAGGAAGTGAATAAGGAAAAGTTACGAGGAGTCCCATGGCACCTTATAGACTAACAGAATTACTGGAGCATAAGCTTTTGTGAGCAAAGACCTACTAGGTCAGATGCATGTGACATGCATCTGATGAAGTGGGTCTTTGCCCACAAAAGCTTATGCTCCAATAACTCTGTCAGTCTGAATCTGCAAAAGCGACGAGGAGTCCTGTGGCATCTTATAGACTAACACAGCTATGTCTCTGATAATTGATACCATGCAAGGAAAAGTTATTTACTTGTTCCCATAACATAAGAACTAGGAGTCACCACATGAAATTAATAAGCAGCAGATTTAAAACAAACCAAAGGCAGTATTTCTTCACATACCACAGTCCACACTTGTGGAACTCCCTGCCAGAGGATGTTGTGAAGGCCAGGACTTTAACAGGGTACAAGAAAGAGCTAGATAAATTCATGGAGTTTAGGTCCATCAACACTTATTAGCCAGGGTAGCTAGGAATGGTGTCCCTGAGCCTGTTTGTTTAGAGGCTGGAAATAGATGACAGCAGAGGAATCACTTGATGATTCCCTGCTCTGTTCACTCCCTCTGAGGCATCTGATATTGGCCACTATTGGCAGACAGGCTACTGGGCTAGATGGATCTTTGGTCTGACCCAGCATGGCTGTTCTTATGGCCGTGAGCATGGCCAGCAGGATGGGGGTACAGGAGTTGGGGGCGGGGGTAGCAGGATGGGGGCAGGACTGTGCTGCAGGTAGCAGGGACCCAGGTAGACCTGTCTCTGACATGCCCATACCCCTCAGTGCTGAACGGCTGCTCCCAGGACGAGATTTCACTGTGGGACATTCGTATCCTGCCCAACTTTAATGCCAGCTACCTGCCTATGCTGCCCGACGGCTCCGTCATGCTGGTAGATGACGTCTGGTGAGTGTGGGGGTGCTGGTGCTGGGGGAGAGCTGTCTGGGCATTTTTGTGTGGCAAGGTTGAGGGGCAGTGCTGGGGAGTCTCCATGGAGTGGTGCTGGGGGGGGGGCCTCTGCGGCAGACTGTCATGCTCTGCCCTCCCTCCTCAGCCATCACTCAGGTGAGGTGCCCGTAGGTGCCTTCTGCCGCGTGGCTGGCGCTGGCTCCAGCTGTCCCTGTGCCCTGAGTGCCCTGGAGGAACAAAACTTCCTGTTCCAGCTGCAGGCGCCTGAGAGGCCGCAGGAGGACACCAAGGAGGTGGGTGTATGGGGTTGGGGTAGGGACAGGCCTCTAAGGAGCAGAGCCATGGGACTGGGCCAGGGCTGTGAGTGGGCGGAGCCAGGGGGCAGGGACAATACTGTGAAGGGCAGAGCCATAGGGCTGGGGGAGGAGCTGGACAAGGATTGAGCACAGGTCTGTGATGGACTGGGGCTATGGGACGGGAACAGGGACAGGGCTATGAGGTGGGGCCAGCAGCTGTCACTCACTCTCCTTCCTCAGGGTCTGGAGGTGCCCCTGGTGGCTGTGGTTCAGTGGTCAACGCCCAAACTCCCCTTCACCAGCAGCATCTACACCCACTACAGGTGAGCAGCCCCGGCTGCCCAGGGTAGTTGTGCAGGAGTGGGGAGGCACATCCTGGGGACTGTGATGAAGGTGCAGAACTGTCTGTGGTGGGTGAGGGGAGAGACAAGCTGCAAGCACACAAGGGGCAGGCACCCAGCCGGGAGGGGAGTGGCAGGTGCCTGTAGATTGGGGGGAGCATAGAGTGGGAGGGTCCAGGCGCTGGGGTTAGGACAGAAAGGTCCACGCATCCGTGGTGGAGAGGTGTGGGGCAGTTCTGGCACATAGGGATGGGGAGAGTCCTGGTGCCCGTGGAGTGGTCCTGCCACTGAGCTATGTTGCCCCCTCAGGCTGCCCAGCATCCGGCTGGACCGGCCACGATTTGTGATGACTGCTGCCTGTGAGTCGCCCGTGCCCCTGCGCCGCCGCTTCACCGTCACCTACACCCTGCTCAACAACTTGCAGGACTTCCTGGCCGTGCGGCTGGGCTGGACCCCGGAGAGTGCCACGGCCGGTGGGCAGGGTTGGTGGGTGGGGCAGGCCAGGTGGGTGGAGCCATGCCTTGAGGGCAGCACCATGGTCCAGAACTGTACCTGGTGGGGTGGGCCACTGGGGCTGGCAACCATTGGGAGAGCCGTGGCTAGTAGCATGGACATGGCCAGACAGAAGTTGCACAACTGGGAGCAGGTGCAGGGAAGGTGGGTGGAACCAGTCAGCGGGCAGGACTCTTCAGGTGGGGCCATAGTTGATGGGTGCGGCAACAGGTGGGACAGGGTTTTCGAAGCAGACCCACAGGATGGGGCAGCTGGATCAGGCTGGGGGCAAGACCAGGGTCCTTGGTCTGCCTTGCCGCAGCTCCCATGCCATTGTGAGTGAACTAACCAGGGGCTGTGGGTTGGGCCAGGAGCTGGGGGGCTCTGAGGAGGACCTGGGAGGAGCTGACCTCCACCCCTCTCCACAGGGAAGAAGCTTTCCAGTGAAGAGCGCCGGGCCACGCAGGCTGCCCTCGACTCCATCGTGTGCCATACGCCTCTCAACAGCTTGGGCTACTCCCGCAAGGGCAGCGCCCTGAGCGTCCGCGTCGCATTCCAGGCCCTGCGCACAGGCCTCTTTGAGGTACCGGGGTGGGGCCAGACATCTGGGCTATGTCTACACTGGCATGATTTTCCGGAAATGCTTTTAACGGAAAAGTTTTCTGTTAAAAGCATTTGCAGAAAAGTGTGTCTAGATTGGCAGGACGCTTTTCCGCAAAAGCACTTTTTGCAGAAAAGTGTCCGTGGCCAATCTAGACGCACTTTTCCGCAAAAAATCCCCAATCGCCATTTTCACCATTGGGGCTTTTTTACGGAAAAGAAATCTCTGCTGTCTACACTGGCCCTTTTGTGCAAAAGTCTTTCGGAAAAAGACTTTTGCCCAAACGGGAGCAGCATAGTTTTTCCGCAAAAGCACTGACAATCTTACATGAGATCGTCAGTGCTTTTGCGGAAATTCAAGCAGCCAATGTAGACAGCTGGCAAGTTTTTCCGCAAAAGCAGATGATTTGCCAGTCTAGACACAGCCCTGGGGTTTCTCCCTGTGCTAGGATGGAAGTGGGGCTGGTGGGTGAGAGCAGGGGGGCAGAGAGCCAGGACTTCTGGGTTCTCTCCTGGGCTCTGATTGGTTAGAGCATGAGGGGCTGGGAGTCAGTACTTGGGGGGGATATAGGGATGGGAAGTGCCCCCACTGTAACCCCCTCTGCCCCCAGCTGTCCCAGCACATGAAGCTGAAGTTGCAGTTCACGGCCAGTGTCTCGAATCCACCTCCCGATGCCCGGCCTGTGTCACGCAGAGGCAGCCCTGGCAGCCCAGCTGTGCGGGATCTGGTTGAGCGGCACCAGGCTGGTCTGGGCCGGTCTCAGTCTTTCTCCCACCAGCAGCCATCCCGCAGCCATCTCATGAGGTATGCATGCAGGAGGCTGGCCGAGGGGAAGGGGGTCGATTGGCGGGGGGGAACCAAGGAGCAACTTGGGGTGTGCTAATGTGAGGAAGGGTACTGGCTGGGGAGGTTTTATGGGGGCATGAGGGTGCAGCTTTGGGGCACCAGTGTGGGGACAGGGCTGGTGATTCAAGGTGACTGGTTGTGGTTTGGAGCTGTCATCACCACAGACCTAAGTATTTAAGGGGGAGGAGCTGGGAAACGGGTGGGCTGGGAGTGGAAATGCTCTAACATTAGCCCCTCCCCCTCATTCCTCCCTGGTCAGTCAGGGGAAGGCATCTGTGTTCTCTTCCCCCCCCCCCCTCCAGATGGTAAAGGAGTCCTGGGTCCTCTGAGGGAGTGGGTTGCAGGATGGTGGGAGCAGAGCCTTCCCCAACACCTGGTGTCCCCTGCAGGTCAGGCAGTGTCATGGAGCGCCGCGCCATCACCCCACCCGTGGGCTCCCCTGTGGGCCGCCCCCTTTACCTGCCCCCTGAGAAGAGCATCCTGTCGCTGGACAAGATTGCCAAGCGTGAGTGCAAGGTGCTGGTGGTGGAGCCGGTCAAGTGAATGGGCCAACACCTCACTCCCTACTGCTGAGCTGGACAAGAGACCCCCTCCCACCACCATCATCTAGCCCATGGGCTGCTGTGGGGGGGAGTCTGGGATGTGCCAAGGGGGAGGGAAGCACAGACTTTGGGGTGTAGCAGAAACCATGGCTGCTGCTTGGGGAAGGCTGGGGGACCATGTTCTGGGGAATTCTGCTGCTGGCCAGGGGCTGAACGTGTCTCAGTGCGGGTTCACAGTCACTGTTTACAAACCCCTTCGCTTCCTGCATTGCCTTTTTCATTGGAGGGGGGAGGGGGGGCCGCACGGGTACTGGAATCAGAAACTTCTTTCCCATGAGCCTGTGGGGTGGCTCGCTGCCCCCCTTCCAGCTGGGAAAGCATTGCCAACTCCACTCCTGACCATGGGAAGGAAGGGTAGGTCCTGGCTGTGCCCCCCCCTGCTGTGGGGACTCATTGGATCCAGGCCTCCTGTGCACTTTAGTTACATGTTTTTGTTATTTATTTTTCTCTAAAGCAGCTGCAATTTGGGTCTGAATAAATTACATGAGATGGAACCAGCCTTGCTCTGTGTGTGCACTGGGGGTGGGGGGCATGATGGGTAGAGACCCTCTGTGAGACTGGCAGTCACCCTCCCCCAGCCAGGGCCAGTGTTGGAGCAGGAAGAGTGCTCACTGTTGCAGCTCCCCACCCCAGCCCTTCCTAAGAGGTTGTGTAGAGTGGTGCTGCCAGAGCTGCTCACTGAGCGTCACCCCCAGGAGTTGCCCAGGAGGGAGGGGCAGGGGAGAAGAGGAGAGAGCTGAGGCCCATGGGGAATCATGAAGGGGTCCAACAGTTAGGAAATACTCTTTATTCCCCCACAGTTACAGCATGGCATGTGCCTGCCCTCCCTCCTCCTTCAGGGGGAAAGGCTCCCCCTTGCCACACCCTTACAGGTCAGGCTCTGAAGTGGGACTCCCCTTCCATATGTCCCAGCTGCACTTCACTGTATTCCCTGCTCCCCCTCCCTCCCACTGATTCAGACAGCAACCGGCTCCCGTCCATGGTTCTGCCGCTTCACCACAAAGATCTTCTGGCCAGAGACAGTCACCAGGAAGGAGTGTTCCCCAAACACCACTGTGGGGAGAGAGGGGAAGACAGTATAAGACCACCACCCCCCAAGGGGGAAGGATAGGGCTAGAGTACCCTGGTGAGGGGGGTTACAAACCCAGTGTATGCCCCAGTTTTCCCCCTGCACAAGTCTGGTGTGGGGAGGGAGAGAAGAGATACACAATGAGATGGTTTGCACAGCAGGCTCAGACCCCTGGGGCATGGTGTCACCTACTGAGCCCAGGTCCCAAGACTTGGGCACCCAGGGCCTAGGTGCAAACCCCAGGCTGGGTGGAGCCAAATGCAGTGGGTCATAGAAGCAGGCTGAAGGCCAGTGGATGCCATGCTGCCCCCCCAAAGGAGGAACACCCCTTGGGGGCTCAAGGAGGGGGTGGCAGTGACAGCAACTTAGGGAGGGAAAAGGCATTACAAGGGCATGGAGTAGAGTCCTTCCCTGGTGCTCCATGATGTGGGCACTGAGGGTGTGAGCTGCATACCATCTCGAGGGGGATAGGCCCCAACAACCGCCAAGCCCCCTTGCTCCCCAGCAGCTCTGTCCCCACTCAAGGTCAGTCACATTCCCTTACACTCCCCTCCCACACTCACCAGAGAGGCGTTTAAAGGGGGGGTCAGGGCTGCGCTGTAGCCGGAACCCGCAGGCTGTGCCCACCAGCTCCGAGATCGCTCCCGCCATGTGCTCAGCGTTCTCTAGCTCACCAGCTGACTGCAGGGCCAGGAAAGGGAACAAGGGTTAGGGGCGTGCCCCCCTAAACTCCCTTGCTCTGGCCCACCAACCCCCACTCCCCTCTCAGAGCCAGGTGAGAACCCAGGAGTCCTGGCTCCGCAGCCCTAACTCACCTAGCCCATCCCCCTCCCAGGCTTCCGGGTCCCCATCTCACCGCTAGCACGGCACCATCGCAGATCACCAGGTAGCCCAGCTGGTCAGGGATCTGTTCCAGCCCCTGGGTCAGCGCCGTCGTCTAGGGGAAGAGGTCAGGGTCAGAAGCACGGGGGGGGGGTGTAGCTCCCCTGGGCACTGAGGGGCTGTGGGTGACCACAGGACCAGTCAATCCTTCCCGTAGGGGCCAACCCGGA